AGTTCTCGGCGTCACAATATACGGCCTTCGGCGTCACTTTGGTCCCAACCTGCCGGATTTATCTGTGTATCAAACCGGCAGCTCTGAGTCCCACGTGCTAATGGAAAGTGTGCGCCTCTGTCTCAGGACAGGATGACCTGGCGATTTTGTACTGACACACTGCGCGACAATGTTGCCAGATAATGGTGACTGCCGCGTTTGGCGTGTCATCGAATTGACTTCACAATGGTCAGCCAGTGAGCCCGGATAAAGGATGTTCTGTCTGGTGTGTTAGAGCAATTGTTAAAAAGAGTATTTAAACACAAGATGAATTGTATACTTTCAAGGAGAATGTAGACAAAACATGTAGGCTAATATGTGGACCACTGATTCCCTTAAACCTCGGCCATTCTTTGCGATTTAATATTTTAACCCTATTAGTGGCAGGGGGGTTGTTTTTATCCACCCCTCAGGTTTTTCGGGAATATCTCCGAAACCGCTGAAGCTACGATGCTGACATTTTCTGACTTTTCTTAAAACTAAATTGGGCACATTCCCTGAAAATTTCAAGTTCATAACTTTACCAGGGGCGGCTCCAGAGCACTGGGAATTGGGGGGTCCTATTCGTGAAGCGAGTCATTTGGGCGAAGATCACGATGCTGCACCAGTTTTACGAACAGTGAATGAAAGGTATCATGTGATAACATATACAAAGTTATTGTGCATCCTCTTTTGACACGTTTTTGCTATAATTGGCGGATCCAGGCGTCCAAAAAGGGGGGTTGTTTTTTACCTCCCAACATAGGTGCCCTGACACCGCCTATGCATGACCAATACAATTTTAGCCGTTCTCTCATAAGAAAATTGTAACATAACAAGACCATTGCCACCCTTCTTAGAAACAGTACCAACAAAAACCTTATTTACTATACTTTTTGTGTACCCCCAATCTCAATGATCTGTATCCGCCTATGATTTTTGAAAATGCATATTTTTAGGATCCATGTGAATTCCTGGTTCATTCTCTATCGATCGGCAAAAGTTACGTTAAGATTGGTTCAGAAACCTGGCCGTGATAAACAGTCAAAAATGTACCTGCAATTTGCCCGTTTTTACCCCCCCTCTACCCCCCTATTGACATTTTTTAATTTTTTTTTTTAGAAATGTAGATCTTGTTGAGCCAAATCGAATGCCATTTGAATTTTGAAAATCGGCCGGTTAGATCTCGAGATATCAAGGGGGGTCGTAAACAGCCCCCCCCCCCCTGCCACTAATATGGGGTAGCCAGGAGCCTGCCACTAATAGGGTTAACATAGGAAATACAAGTGTTGTAACTCGAACCAAGCGTCGTAGTCAAGTAGTTAGTGCTAATGCTTCTAAGACGACACACTTTGATTATTGTTTGTGCAAGTGGACGGAACGGGCTCCAAACACTGCACGAGAGTGCTGAGGGTCACCAACTCACATCAAATGAAGAGCCAAAGTCCAGCTCTGTGTTTTCCAACGTAAAGGACATGTGTTTACCGATTAAGTGGTGATTTTAGACAGGAAAGTCGCAAGCAGAAGCAGAAAGCTACAAACTCATCTTTCTACGGTTACATGCAGGATGCTCAAGTCATCTGCCCACTCGATTGCACGCTCTCACTTTCTGTGATACCTCCTAGGGGAAGATCCCACGTGCCTTTCACGAGCATTTGTCCGTAACCCATCAGACGGTCTTGAGTGGTCTAAAATTCACACGATCTGGCCACCCTTCTAAAGCTGGGCGTGGTTACCCGGATCTAGAGGCAATCGGGCACGTATCTGATGTTGCCATATGCGAATGAGAGAAACCTAGAGAAAATGAACACATGCCTGCATTTACCAGATATGACTTGGCAAAGGTGTCTCAGATTAGTATTGCAAGACGCAGTAAGAAGGAAGAACTCAATTCCGCACATGCCTCAGTTTGACACAGGGGAATCATTCATGCTATTTGCCCGTTTTTGCTAAGCGCTGATAGTTGCGTGTTATGTGACACTTTTAGGTATGGAAGTTATTCTGAGATCGGTAATAAAATAATTTTGGCTACATCGCTTACCACGTCTCATCGCAAAGCAATCGCATCACCGGATATTATAGTATATATTTCAGCAAGCATATCAACTTCCTGAGATCATCACTAACCTCAGAACTTCCATGCTAAGAGATGCAGGTCTCATCCCCGGTTCCAGACCTCTTTCCGACATAAAATCAAACCCTTTATTGGAAATCCCCCGACCAACTAACCCACAGCTGACCAGCCCAGACACAACACTTGGCGTCTGCGACCCCAATCTCAGGCTCCATCCAGCATCAGCTGCCGATTCAGCTTGGCCAGACACTTCCCCAGATTGCGATGTTTGCCATCTGCTCCTAAAGATAATAAATTATCACACCATCCATCACATCTTTCTGTGAACTGCAGTTAGATGGCGCTGGCTGCACAGTGCACGTGCCAATCGTTTTCACGCGCCGTCGAGCCGAAAATATCCAGTCACGCCCTCCTACGCAACGGTGTTATTTCATGATCATCTCTTGAGAGTAACACTACCAGCCATGCAATAAGTCAGGTGGTAGGCGCGTCATCCTGAGTGAAGACTGAAGAGGTTGAAGAGGCTCACCAAACTAGGCATAAGAAGGCAGAACTGAAAGTTATATTCAGTGCCCCAGCATGATTTGCTGTAACAAATGAGTGGGAAGATTGTTAGGAATGTTGCGTCACTCTTGTATGCATTGTTAGGGATTGTTGTGCCGTGCAATGTTCAATCCTTGCCGTGTCGGTCTCCGAAGAGAGGAACATGTTTTGAGACTTTGGGATCAAAACGGGACTTTTACAGTCTCTTGTTCAACAGGGCCATGCAATGCTGGCAGCATGGCTAGCTACTGTTATGTGTGTCAATGTAGTCCCCACTCCTCTTATAGCCTGTGCTAGTCCTATGTGCTTCAATGCAGTCTCCTGACAGCGCCTGTGCTACTGTTATGTGCGTCAATGCAGTCTCCTTAGAACTGGTGCCAGTCTTGTGTGCGTCAATGCATTCCCCTTACGTTTTGTGTTAGTTTTGCGTGTCAATGCAGTCTCCATACAACTTTTGCGACTGTTATGTTCGTCAATGCAGTCTCTTTCCGCCCGTGTTAGTATCATGTGCGTCCATGCAGTCTCCATATACCGCTAGTGTTACTCTTATGTGCGTCAATGCAGTCTCCATATACCGCTTATGTTACTGTTATGTGCGTCAATGCAGTCTTTTTATCGCCTGTGTTAGTCTCATGTGCGTCAATGCAGTCTCCATATACCACTGGTGTTACTGTTATGTGCGTCAATGCAGTCCCTATATACCACTGGTGCCACTGTATTGTATTGTATTGTATTGTATTGAACAATCATGATCGATCCACATTCTGAACGTGCGTGGCGATTACTGCTCAGAATCCGTATCCGCGGTGCTAGTCTAAACATTCACAGCATTCACACATTCACTCATGTCAAAGCACGGGCAGAGGCACTTAGGTTCTCCATTAGGGATAACAGAGCCTTGGGGATAACTAGGTCTCCGTTAGGGATATGTAGGACACGAAAAATGAGCTAATTGCTTGAATCTGAATGATTATCTACACATGAGTACTTGACCGATGAAAATAGGCTGTACTGGACCGATAAAGACATCGTAAGGAACGCCTGTAGCAAATACAACAAGCTGATTATACACCAAAAAATAAGTTACCTGTTGAATCGCCAATCCAGAAGAGGTAAAAGCGGCTGTGAACAGGCCCTGGGCGCTGGGGAAGGAGTGGGGGGGGGGGCAAGCCCGGGCGCAGTGACCTGGTGGCACTGGGAAGAAGGTGGCAGTAAAGGGCCAGAGCGGAAGTCCGGTTCTGGGTGTGGTCTCCTTACTTTCGGTTTCGCACGTTTCTTCTGACTTATTTCCGCCTGCTCTCCAATGAATAGGCAGTGTAGAAATGTACACAAGAAATAATCAGTATGATTACAATAGACCGTGCAAGCATAATTAAACACACGTGACATGCAACCCACACCTATCCATTTCAAGCAATTTGTCCCTAAGCAGCCTTGCACGTTTTTCACACGCATTACTCCGCTGCCTCACACCGAGCATTCCATTTTGAGCCAACCACTTCACCGTGAGACGACGGAGCGTGCCTAACGATCCATTTACACCGGTTATGTGCAGAGCTACGAGAGCAGCTTGAGACCTAGTGAGAAGACCCAATAAATCAGAAAGAGATAATTTATTCAGAGAAGTGGTCAGCCTGCCAAGGTTTGCACTCATGCACTAGTACGAAAAGGTTGCACCAGCATCCTGTAATGTCGTTTTAGCGACGTTTGGTTCAGAAGATACAGTAAAGATTGATTTGTTTTCGTCATGGTGGCAGAGTATCACACTTTCTAAAGTAGTGAAAAGAAATATGTTTTGATCAAAGTTGAGGCCAGGGAAGATTGCGAGGAAAATAAATACGGACTTAGCAGAGTGCTATTTTAGCGTTTATTACGCAGGAAAAAAGGAACAATGTTCAAATTCAAAAAGCAAGCCTTTTTGTCTCCGGATACTGAAGCAAACGATCTTCTGCAATCCAGCACAACTTGTACAGCTGTCTGCTTTTGAATCACATCCAGCCGTGCGTTAACAGGTCAGTCTGCTGCAAAGGCGTTAAGGAGCGACCGCTACGCACATTAATTGAATTACTTAAGCAATAAGCACAACTGAAGCCTGACGATCAGCACACATCTGGCGTTCTTCAAGCATGTAACGGCGATTTCTCCTGTAAGTAGGAAGGACCGCGCGCAGGGAACCGTTTTACCTCTCCTGGGAATGTTGGTGGGCGCTAACTTTACACCTAACCACTGGATAGTTACAAATTATGCTAAAGGTAGAAACTGAGCTGCGGTGGTTTCGCTATAAAGTTGGTGTTGTGCCATAAAGGCGCGAGTGCTGAATTAGAGACGGCGGAGTGTGGACGGTGCTGACTGCGCGGGGCCCGGCGCGACGGCGGGGATTCCATTCTGGAGGACTGTATTTACAATCAGGTATGGAGGGCTTTTTATTATACTTATATGTATATTGCAATTGTTTGTAAACTTTAGAGATTCATTGCAGATCAGAGGGCTAACAAGAGATAAATTGTACGTGGGCATCCATGCAACTAATACTTTCATAAGACATGTAATATATTTCCAGATCTCACCGCAGGCTAGTGACATCTGAAATTGAACTGCTCAGTTGTTTTGCGTTTCCGTCTTACCCTTACTTGAAGGACATGACAATTGCAAGCATAAACAATCGAAAGAGTATTGAATACTTTCGTTACAATGGCGCTTATCAGTATGTTATGTCATTTGAGCTCAAATGACAGATGAAAGTTCACCGTTACTCATACATCTCATGATCACGCCCAGTAAGCGTTGCTCGAAATGCGAAAAATTCAGTACTCAGTACTACGTGCTGATTAAGAAGTCGGCAGTGGAGTAAAGGGGGAGGGGCGAAGAAAAGCGTTCCACTTCAAAATGTTGGTCACCGCGAAGGGATCTCCTCCCACTGAAATCGCTAGATGCCCTCCTCGGTCGCTTGCATGGGATGACCGTCAATCCGGAACAGATGATGTTTTTGGGTCAGTTTTAGCGATAAAAAGGGACAGGCCAATTCATCCACAGCCCATAACATGCTGGTATATGAGCAGTGGACTGGCAGACCAAGAGGAATTACTTGTCCAAAAGCGACTCAGGCTCTGTTACGCATATCATAGAAGTAATTTACAAACTTATTTTGATTACGTTATTTTGCGAGTAAAAAGACGTCTGCTTGACTTCAGTTTTCATTCTGTGCCCTCAGAAATCATGAAGCTCTCCATTGTCATGTTGCTGCTCTTGGTCGCCCTGGTGAGGACTGACACCTCCTATCAGAACTTTGAGTCCTACGAGAGCAGTCACGACCTGTCCAGCGCCTCGTCCAACTACTACGAGCATTCCCAGCCGAACCGGAGGATCAGCACCGGTCTCACTGGGTGAGACAATTGTGGCGCTGGCGAGACACTTTGTTGAGGAAGGTTTTTTCACGAATGGTTCGCAAATATGGGGATGGTTTAGGGATGATAATGATGAATGATGATTCGAATAGGTATTTACCGTGGTTGAAGCAGTGAATTGTTGCATTTTTTCGGAAGTGAATTTCGTTTTAACTCTCGTACCTCGCTAGATATGGAGAAATGTGTAGCATTGCTGACATGTGCACGTAGAGTGATATGCAGGCTGCAGATTATTGTAAGTGACAAGTGTTGCATTTTCCCAGGTATCTTCGACAGTATTTGAATCCTATTCGTCGTCAAGGATTCCAGGGAGTTATACCTTGTAAGTTCCATACATTGTTTGCAACTTTTTCTAAATAGGAAAGGTTGTTTATGTGATTATAATTTTGTTGTTAATGGCTTGCAACATGTTTAAATTTTGTCCTAAACCATCCCAAGCTCATCTTGACGAGCCAGGTGGAAAAAGTCTGACACATAACCTGTGTGCTTATCCCTGCAGATCTCTGGCCTTTGGGACTGCTGTGCATCGTCATCTTTCTTGCCCTCATCGGCTACGGCTATTACTCTGCACTGTACAACTCGTCGGGCCGTGGCCTGGACACGGACGAGTGGGAGGTGGACCACTCGGTCTGGATGAGCCAGCTCCAGAAGGACTTCGAGGATTCGTGGTCCGAGCACTGAATGACTGCGCAGTCAGTCGCGCCAGTTTTGTTATGTTTATCAGCTGCGTCGGTTCGTTATTTTGTGCTTTGATGCTTTGACTTGTTGTAGTGTTATTTATTACTCCTGTGTGTTTTGGAGAGTTCACTTACATCTTTTTACCATTTGATCGCAATTTTGTAGCCATAGATGGTAAATTTCTTTGGGTAAATTATAACATTTCCTTTTGGGAAATTCTTTTCTTGTGATCAGGCTATTACTACCTATGTAAAAAATTATATAAACTAACTGATAAGTATGAAATATGTTATTGAACTTTGCATAATTATGTTTTTTTATTGACATGAAATGTATTTATGAATGTCTTATTTAGAGAGCATAAACTACAATATCAAAGAAAACTAGTCAGATGACATAGCATCGAAAACACGTAATGCTCAAAAGTGATTATGTTCAGAAGCATTGTTATAGCGATTTCAATGATCGTTTTCATATACATACCAAATAACTAGCATTCACAGCAAACTACCTATAGTCTATGCCGTAGATATTCACTTAGGTCATCAACATGATTTTAATTAGGGCTTAATTTTCCTTTGTTTTGTAATGCATTTTTTATCAGTTCTCGCATATTAAGTCATTTACGTTAGCTAAGGTTTTAGAACCTACTCCTTTTTCTGTTACAACATCATGTCGTGTACCTGAGCAAAATGGTTCGTGATTCAGAAATACGATGACAAAATGGTTTAATTGGAAACCATCAATACAAGATTGTTAACACATATTTTCTTCTAAGTGAATTTAGTGAGGAACTGCTAGAACAATGCTTTCTGGAAATTTATATTTTCCTCCAATGTGTCAACGTTTGATAAACTATATCGGAATGATGCTAATAAATTTCATTGTTTCATGTTATTCACTCATATCGTGTTAATTTTTTTTATAAAATTTAGTGTCATTTTTCAATTTAGAAAATAAGTTAGGATCCAAATTAAAAGCGATGCTTAAAAATGATAATAATAAACACTGCTGAGTATGTGCAAAATGTTATAAACAGAAGAGGAACAGAAACCTTATCCCTCGCACGACCAGGCCATTTCTCATAACACGAACGACCAGGGGGGGGGGGGTTGTTACGATCCCCCCCCTGGCGTTTCGAAACGGAAGGTCGTACAGCTTAGCGGAAAAAACCAACGGATTGCTCTCAACGAGATCTCGCGATTGGTGGTATATTTTTTGGTAATAGGTCAACATTTGACCTACTTTTGACCGGTCAAAGGTCAAATTTTCGGAAAAATAGACTTTTTTCAACTTTCGTCGGCGATTGCGGCAAAACGGTGAAAGATATCGACTTGAAACCTTCTCTATCGTGTTCCTTGATCAATTCTCTATCGTTTGGTATGTATTTCGTTTCCCTAGCTCTAAAAATGGCGCGTTGGGAGCGCCGGAAGTCGGCAAGGTCACAGTCGGCGGCAGAAATTCGAAAAATCAAAATTTAAATTTTTGAAATCTGATTGTATTTTTGGATTTGGGAGGTCCATTTGCTCCCTATAGAAGCTAATATTGCTGCATATTCCCATTGAGGTGACAAGAATTAGCAAAATAGTGGTTCGGGCGCTTTTCAAAAATAGTACCGGACGCTGTTCCTCTTGTGACGTCATAGCTCCGTGACCTGACCTGACCCGGTCAAATTTCTTATACCATATGATAGTTAATACTTGCCCCAACATGCATGGGAAGTTTCATTACGATCCATCAACCGATGTTCGTACCACCGGCAGGAAACCTCGGGCGTTGGCACTCAGTTTGTGAAAATCCGGCCGGAGGCTGTACCTCTTATGACGTCATAACTCCGTGACCTGACATGACCCGATCAATTTTTTTCGGCAAAAGATGCGCAAAGGTTGCCCCAGAGGGTATTGAAAATTTCAGCCCGCTACGACAAGCCGTTTAGCGTGCACTTCGAAAAAACCTCAGGGGGGGTTGATACAACCCCCCCTAGGCGACTATTTTTCATGCTTAGGCAACTTAGTGACAAGCTGCTTCAATACAAAACCCTGTGATTGGTCTAGTTGAACAACACCTTTTTAATTTTTAAATCATTTTGAAGGACTTGCTTATGTGCAATAAAAACTAAATAGCATGCAGCTATATAGATGAAAACATCATGCAATAAAAAGACAATAAAGCTTATGCAACATTTTACTATAATTCCATCGATGAGTCCTCGTTGTATGAAAATCTGTTTCATTTTCTCGTCCTGCATCTTACTGCTAATATGGATAGCAGGCACACCTGTGAACTGAACATGTGAACTGAATTATCAACATGTGAACGCATGTTATGGATGATGCAATAAACTGTCATGGTTGCCACTCAACTCATTTGACATGCACCACGCAGCTAATACACATCTATTGTGTAGGATATTCGTGTGTTCAAGTATTTCTTCATCTGATGTTGAATGGATATCTGAATGAATAAGATATCCGACTTGTTAATGTGTTTTTTCTTCAGTGTCAGATAATATGTTAATCGGGTTCTTCAGGCCCGGAGCTATCGTTTGGTATATATAAGTGTGGAATTCCTCCCCAAGTGATTGTTTTCGTGAATCAAACGCTGTTCAAGAGTGCGGGAGAGGGGTCCGGTCGCAACAATTAAGAACTTCGTGCTTAACCCGGCAGTTGCTGGGGTATTTCGCCACCCACCGTTTGCTGGGGGGGGGGGGCGTTAAACGCCCCCAGCCGATAACTCGAGAACCAATAGGCGCAGCGAAACGCACGAGGCGGCAAACGAAAGAACGCGACGAGACGCTTCAGATGAGTACTTTAAAGTTGAATTTTGAGGTCACAGGTCAGGTCAAGGTCAGGTCAAACACCTGAAATCGGGCTTTCAGTAGCATGGACTTCAGGACTTCGCAAAGGGCGCCTCTCGTCATAAACTCTGTCAAAACGGTGCACAATCCATCATATAAAGTCTACAAGAGTGTCAGCTCCATGTAGGGGTCAGTCAAGCATAGGTCAGGGTCAAGGTCAGGTCAACCGGGCAGGCACATATACGCGAAAATCAAAACCGATATTCGCAGCCTGTGACATATGTTTTATGGGTAATTTGGGGCGTGGAACACGATGGTGACATTCATTTTACCATATGTGTACGTGTTTGGCTAAAAAAGTTCAATTTAAGAAATGCATGTATCATGGTCGTGAAGTAGTCACGAGAAATTGCCAAGATTTACTTCAAGATTTTGGAAAATGTGGAACGATAATCAACAATCGAAGATAGCCATTTGATTGTTCATGGTATTGGCAGTCTAATGGCGTTTACGGCATGTCTGTATGTCTATTCTGTGCTTTTATATGATTTTTTGAACATATGCCGTTTTTGGTCGAAAACTCAGAAATCATGACGTCACTAAAACCTCGATATCTCCAAAATTTTCCGACCGATTTTTTTGAAATTTTGTCACAATAAACTTCAATCAATTCCCTACAGGTACCCAAAATTTGGCGCGCCTGCGGCGCGCCGTTTTTATGCTATGGCCCGGCGAAAAAAGTGGGGGCGTTTAACGCCCCCCCCCCCAGCAACTCGCGGGTTAAGTTGAGTTTTCGCCAGGAAATAGCAATTGTGTTGGAAAAATGGTAATAACAATGTTGATTGATCGTTTCTGGACAAAACAGTATAAGTTTCATTACACTTCCACAAAGTTTGATTTGTTTACCCATGTCGTGCTAGAACTGGCGATCCGCCCAGTGTGCGGCGCCCGGTGACTGACTGGCCGGCCAATACCAGTTGACCTTAACCCTCGCCGGCACAGGCCATTTTGCGTCCTTCGACGGCACAAGGGTTGGTACGACCCCCCCCCCCCTCGCGTTTGGCCCCTGATCGAGCTAGAGCTTCGCGGAAAAAACGCGCGTGTTGCCCGTCACGAGACGAAGCCGATGATACCCAATTTTAAGGTCCTAGGTCATCGGGTGACCTTCCAGGTCAGGTCAATGACCCGAAAACCGGGAAAATCGGGACCTGTTAGAAAGTCGTAAATTGTGGCTGCTATGTGGTTTTCCGGGGTGCTGATCACGAATATCGTGTTAGTTTTGATCAGAGATGATGTCTTTAAGCATTTAGACCAGGTCGGGTCAGGTCAGGTCAGGTGGACCGGTAGGGGTTGTGACGGGTATTCGTAATACGTGTCAACCGCCTCCGACAGCTTCGTAACATATTACAAAGGCACCAAAACTACTTCGTAAATGTTCAAATGGTTGCCAAATTCGAATTCAGCCAGCTCCAAAAACTAGCCTAGAAACAAGTAAAACTCGAAAAAGTGAACCGAGGTCACCCGAGGTCACCAAAGGTCAATGACCTGACCTGACCTTCAGGTGACCTTGACACCCACCCTAATGTATGGGAGCGACATCAAATCACATGTTTGAACGTTTGAAACCACAAAAAGCTTGCAAACGCGCGGCTAATGTTAGCCGACATACGCCGAATCGCGATTCCGGCCAAACATGGTCTCGGAAAAGAGGTCACAGGTCAAAGGTCATTGGGGTCAGGGTCATGAAATTTTCAGGGTAGGTGTAAAATTGATCAATGCGAGGGTACTGAAAGTTTCGTCGCGATCGGCCGCTTTTTTCGCGAGTTATTCGCGAAACACCTTAGGGGGGTTGCATCAACCCCCCTGTGCCGGCGAGGGTTAAGCTGACCTTCTCTGACCCCGGGAGGTAGACTGACCCGCTGTTGCTAGGTGGGCAGCGGACAACTGGCTGGGCCGCTCAGCGAAATGAAATGACTGTTTTCAAATAAAGACTTAACCCTCGCCCTGGCAGGGGGGGGTCGATACCCCCCCCCTAAGGTTTTTCAAAGATAGCGTGAAAACGGCGGCGCGCAGCGCCGCCAAATTTGGCACAATCTATGGGGCAACCTTTTTACATATGACCTTAAAATTTCAGGTCCGGGTGACCTTGGGTCAGGTCACCAGGTCAGAAAAACCGGTACAAGGTCACGGTCAAATTTCAATTTTCTTTTTGCACCTGTCCAACTCACAGTTTTGGACTGATTTCCTTCAAACTTTCAGGATGTGCTAAGTTCACCGAGTTGTATAACATATAGTTCGGGTTTTTTGAGGTCACTGACCTGAGGTCAGTTAGAGGTCGATACGTCGTAATGTTAAGCCTATGGGAAAATACTAAATTCGGAAAATACTGGAGATATTCGCTTCGTTCTATCACTTTTGTGCTTTGAAACCACAGTACTTAACAGCAAGTCACTTGGTGCTTCTTTGTTTGGTGTACTTATCCATGGGTCAGGTCAAATGAGGTCAACTGAGGTCAAATGACGTTTTTGCCAATAACTTGGCACATAATGACGCTAGAGCTTAAAAATGGTGTCATTGTGTTCCTGGTGATCAGCCGAATCGAATGATATGCAATATGATGCAATTTGGTTACCTTGAACTTAATTAATTAATTAAAGTTTACTTAAAATTTAAGACAAAACTACTTAGCAGGCTAAAAAGTATATCATTCGACGCGCCTTGACCTGCTGAATTCACTGTGCTTTTCTTTTTGCTCTATCTTAATTAGATCAAAGTTATAAGCGAAAAACTTTTGACCTGTTTTTAGCGAAATTTTTACATTTATACCCCCCAAAACCCCCCTAAATATTGACCTAGAGCAACCAAATTTGCACAGGGGCGAGAACTCCAGGGTTCCCACCTACCTACTAAATTTGGTGTTTCTAGGTGCCATAGGAGCCAATCGCGAGGGGGGTCGCATCGACCCCCCCCCCTGCCAGGCCGTGTTATGAAAAATGCCCTGCCAGGGCAAGGGTTAACGTGCTTAGTAGGAAATAAAACAAATGTAGGGAGTAATATAGATATTTGCATTTGGGCCAGGTATCGTTGTACTGGGCCCAAATGCAAAGATTTGTGGCAGCTCGTAAGCAGCAAAAACCAAGAACCAAGCACCAGTTAGATCAGCATTCATTGGAAACACATACTAGTATGCATAGGGATAGGCTTTGAGGTAGTGGCGTGACCAGCCTGATCGTGGCTAAAGCCCGTAAGAATAATGAAGAATTACCTATCAAAAGACAAAGACACTCTAAAATATACGTGATATTTCTAATCCGATAATAATATAATGATAGCAGAGTTAATTTTGCATTTTAAATCTTATTTGTCATGCTTGTTTTGTTTATGACGAGCGATGCCCAGCATGAAGTCCGAAGGTCCATGCCACTAAAAGCTAAATGTTAGGTGTTTGCCCTGACCTTCACCCGACTCGTATCCTCCAAATTCAACATTTCGGAAGTATTCATCACAGTATTGTCACCAGCTTTCGTTTGCCGCCTCACGCGTCTCGCTGCGGTTTGGTTATCAGCTTAGTTATCAGCTTAGGCGTTAACTACCCGCAAGAAAGTGGTGACGGCAAAATAGCCTGGCAACTACGAATCTAAGAAGACATTTGTACTTTGTAGGTATTGAGAGTAGATTTACTTCTCATGAGTCTCTGTGGTTGATTGGATGGTTACGAGCCCGGGTGCTTGTTAAGACGTTTTTATTGTCAATGTCCTTTATTAGACTGGTGTAGGATGTGTAAAGATGCGGTTTTGAACATACTGACTGCACGAGTTTGTGTTTATATGCCATTGCACAAATATCACATGTAAACAGTAGACACATTTTAACAGGTCCGCAATTCGGTTTATTTGACAAAGACATCGGTTTCAGAGGGGCGTAAAGTAGGAACGGTTATGCATTATACAAGCTGTCTAACAGAAATTGTATTCATGAGCAAGTCTGGTATTTAGTTGAGCATTGCAATACACATCTGGAAACAAGAACAACTGAGCACAACAAAAAACAAGCGCAACCCTGGACAGTTTGTGTGCTGAGCACTGGCGTTAGGTCACTTGTTGGGAATCAGGAGTCTGAAGCATTAGGAGAAAGCTCAGGTCGAAAAAAAAATAATTGTAGGCCAGGTCAAATGTTTTGAATTATGTTTAGGCTAGAGCGTTTGATGAATAGACAGACGGGTTATGGTATATTAGAAGTAGATGTAAGCAAAGAGATGGCCCCATGAGTTCTAAAAAATGACAGTCATTGGTAAGTGCTGCGTAGACATGGACTAAACAAGACAAAAAGGCACCACAAAAGGATGAATTCGCAAAGACTACAGGCATGGCAAGCGTCGGTTTCCTTCGAATAGGCAGAGCAACACACGTTACGAACCAACTAATTTAGTAGTGTCAGTATTCACAAGAAACTTGAATTACAATTACAATTTTGTTGCCGCGTGAAAAAGCTGCATATATTTTAGCGAAGTAAAGAGAATGCAATCGTGGCAGCGAGAGATGCATTCAATAAATATGAAGCACAAGCTAAAGGGCAAAAGTGTTAGCAAGCACTGACATTGTTACAATGCGGGAATACGTTTGCAAGAATCCAAGACTTCTGATCAAACTTTGAATTTCACATTCAAATAAAAAGTTGTCGGTTTCAGATACTTCAAACAAAATGAGTGTAAGAACTTGCTGATAAGCATCATTTAGATAGGTAACAGTTAAAAAGAAACGTTTTAAAACCTGTTAATGTTTGCAAAGCAGCTTGGTTAATTATCTCGTAAAAAATACAATTGAAGTCATTTTGATAAATATCAATTGCAATGTAGCATTCTATCTGTAAATTGAGCTGCCCAACGCATCAAATGATGGCAAAATGTAGCAGGTTGCAACCATGTGTATCTTGTGCCATACACAGAAATGGACATATTTTAGAAACACACATTTATAAAATGTAGACAGCCAAGTTTTTGTGTGAATCCATTTTCAGTTGCACATAGGGAGCACAGCTAAATGAGGTAGTGGCAAATGATTGTTGGCGTGACGTTAGCAGGAAATGCGCACACACAAAGGCGGAGCGAATATACAGCTATAGCGCTTGTCGTAATGTTCCTCTGAGTACCTTCATCACAACACAACAACATCAACAAAGACTGGGCAGCATAACAAAAACCAACAGTAACAACAGTCTAAACCCAGCAGTAAGTCAACAGTAACGGCGCAAAATATCAACTTCCGCAAGCCTTCAGCCACTTATCAATTGTTGATTTGCGGCCACTCACAACTTCTATTTCACAACGCGATCACTCTTGGGACCACGAATCCTCGAAGTCCTTCTGGAGCTGGCTCATCCAGACCGAGTGGTCCACCTCCCACTCGTCCGTGTCCAGGCCACGGCCCGAGTTATTGTAGACTGATGCGTAGAAGGAGACGCCAATCACAGCCGCGCCGACCAGGAGGGCGGCGCCCACCAAAGGAAGAGCGCTGCTTGCTGTCGGAGAGAAGGCCAGAGTGTCAGAAGTGTGGTCAGGTCACGCAGGTCGCCACACGTAGAGTTGTATCAGATAATGAGAAAGCTACTGCTGAGTAGCTTGAATTAATAATAATGATCTTGGTTGATCGCATACAGTTATGATAACTGCAATGCTGAAAGACTACGACGTTACTGTTTTATATCAAATGAAAAAGTGCATATAGGTACATGTCTTCGCCAACAGAAGAAATGTTCTCAAGATGGAAGAGTTGCATGCTTTGAAAGAGGGCTCCTCTCCTGTTGTACAGAAACACACCAGTTACCACCCATACATACCTCCGCTTAAGTCCTGGCGCCGGATCGGATTAAACAGTCGCTGGATGAATCTGAAGCGAAAATGGACAAACCAAGCGTCACTTATTTGAAATACACCACAGTTGGCTAGCTCTCTGACTCATTTTGCGATTGTAGCAATAAACTGTATTTATAATTTCCTTCGTACAAACTGCAAACTTACTTATAAACAATGTTTCCTTCCAATTTCTTAAAACGTTTGTCCCTCTCTGACTAGTCCAAACTAGGTGATAGATGATCGTAATATCTTGCTTTGTTATACTGTCCCGGTGTTTTTCTCACCCGATGACTCCTTTGCTGCTCCGCCTCGCAGGTCGGTGGTCGTAATAGTTTGAGCTGGCCTGGTTGGCATGGTCGGTGTAGGTCTGGAAGTTCTGATAGGAGGTGTCGGCACACGCCAGGGCGGCCAGGGACAGCACGAGAACGGCAGTCAGCTTCATCGTGCCTGCAAGCGAAGAGAATGACCTTATAGGTAAACACGATAGGTTATTATTCAGAGACTTACCGCAACGATACAATACGTAAATATTGAAACAGCGATATTTAAATTCAGTTGTCTCAGGATCTGAGCTAAATCAGATCGAATAGTTGACCTAGGGAGTTCATGTCGCATATCAGTAGATATGACAGTTTTCCCGGAGATCATTGTTCTCAGGTGATCATCCTCGCCTCGCTAGTTCATACGATTGGGCATTATTGGCAAAAGAGCGTTACCGAAAAATCCAATTGAGCTTCAAGCCATGCAAGTCCAAAATAAAAGGTGAGCATGGGAATCGTGCAAAGGATATGCCTAAACCTAGTTATAAACTTGAGATAGGATTGCGAGTAGTGATGCCGAAGTCGATAAGAGGCCCATCTGCCTTCAAATGACTCTGATGAAATTCCAAAATACACACCTATGCATAGGTTCATAGCTTCACATAGCTATGTGAAGATTCTAGAGCCTTGTACTTCCTAAAAGCTCCGTCATTTTGAAACTACTTCCTGGCAATAAGAGTACCTCTGAATTTGGACCCTGTTCATGCTCAGTGCTCACTTATGCTGCCAAAGGCTGGCACCTGTCCTGCCCTGAGACTATCGTTGGTTCAAAAAAAAAATGTTCGAATCAAAAGTCAGACGTACTATTTCTAAGCTCTTCGAATGCGCTCTGTGCAATGGCGGGAAAAAACGTCAGGAACACCACCCTTTTGGGGGGGGGGGGGAATGAAGCCAGAATTGCAGCAGAGTCAACTTCGTTGATATGGTCCTCCCAGACCCTATGTCTGCCTTACGGCTATCCCTGAGCACCTATTCTATTATCGTTTCGCTGATTTATTTACGATAGCTCTTGCCGGTATAAAGTGTATGGCGAATTTACCCAATGTATTGACAAAATTGTCCTGAAACTGTAAGTTATAGTGGAGAATTTGTAGCGACAATTATCGTTACTGACTCACCGGGCAACTATTGATTACATGTACAGTTCTCACGAAAACAGTTCACGAAAACTGAATACATAAACAACAAAGCTAATAGCTAAATTTAAAAATTTATAAGAGTAATTACAAATTTCATTCACAGGTATAACTGTGCAACATTTTGTACAAATGATAAAAAATTGTTGTTGCTATTTGCTATTGGCTTTACTCCCATTGCCATGAGAGTAAGAGTACAACTTTTCAGTTTGCCCCGTCATCGCATCTACTCACGCTTGGAGCTGATCGTGGCACTTCTCGTTCCAAACACTCCGGTCAAGTCATCGTGCGCTCCCACCACCAACACTGCACAAAGCTCAACTCCGTCACAAAATAAAACACCGCCACACCACCAGTTACCTGTTTCAAGAGATATCCTGTGTGATGATGAAGCTCCTGAAACCGTCCTTGACTCGTCCTCAGCTCACTCCGCCCTCACCCCACAGTGCACCCCCGAGTTCGAGCCGAGACTGAAGGGATCTCACCAGCACCGCCTATAGTTATATGCACTGCAGCGGTTTCTTTCGCGGACCTCCAGCAATTGGCTCGAGTAATTGCCTCAGCACTTGCCTCCGGTAAAAGTGAAGGCGAGTGTGGCATGGTCAAATCTCACGCTGGGGCTTTAGTGGGCCGTCAACGGGCACACAGACAGACAGACATACATACTGACAGGAGTACAGACACACCGACTGCATCGCTATCGGCGAGGGCTGACTAGAAACCGGGCCCATTCGTCATTATTGACACTGAGCGGAGGCCTTGCAATGCCCTGGCAGCAGTGCTCGGACGCGAGTTAGGTACTTTCTGGGAGTGGCAGCAGCCAAAGTCAGTTGATGAGTGGGAGTGCTACCGCAGAAACGCCTTAAACACACCGCTCAGAGACAGAGTGAGTAAGAGTTGTATTTGTGGTAGCATGAACGCTTGTAATCGTGTGTGAACACATTAGCAAAAAAGCTATGTTTTAACTGACGTCTATAGTTGACAAATGACAAGCTTCAGAAACAAATCACCATACTCAGGACTGCAGTCCGTTAGCGCACTTTACACCAGTTTAGAACGTGTCTCAAGCGATGTTTGCGTAACATATGCCAATTGAAAGATTTCTTTGTAGATGTCAGCTCTCAGGTAACAAGTATGTATAATGAACATTGAATTATTCAAAAGCGGCTTTCGATATAGAAACATTTACCACCAATTTATCAACATTCAATCACCATCGATCTTCAAATTTATCCAAGTTCATTCTTCATGGCAATATTGCAAACCAGGTACGTTTTTCACATTAATTAATTCAGTTTTCATCCATTTCCAAACGCCTGAAAAAAAATCATCAAAATATGTCTCGCTGCACTATAGACGCTTTTCAACGACAGCGAAAATATGTCCGTCGCCATATTGCAGTGTCTTTTCCTGCGGCAGGTACTTCATAAATGAAAGCAAGGAAGCTTCTCACGGGTATGTGGGAGGACTGCTACTTTCATTGACGCTGGCACAGCGGCATTGCGTCTCCAGGCACTGTGGCAATAGTTATGGTGGGAGCGTATTTACTGCCTAAATGCAGCAGCGAGATAGTTGTGCTGATTGGGGGCTATGCATTACTGGGCAGCGTTGGTTTCTAATCATTTATTCATCAACCATTGACGCATGAAACTAATTCTTATAAAAAGTGCGAGGTAAAAATTGCTTAGTCGATTTCCGTTTTGCGATATTTTCACATAGACCCGCTAGTTTATGCTTTTTGAACCCGAAGCATGTCTAAACTGAACATTTCTTCACATAATCCTTTAGAATGGGCTTCTTTGAGGGGAACTGGAGCGGTTGCATTTGGGTACAGTGGGAAATGGAAGAGGTCTTATTGGGGAATGGATCATACATTGATTGTTGGTAAAGGCCATGGTTGCAGCGAACGTCTGGCATAGGTGCTCTGGTAGGCTCATGAGTTTAAGATTAACCCGCGCATGACTGGGGACTGGGGAGCCCCTTCCGGTTTTTTTGCAATACCTTCTAAGCCGCTGAATGTATCAACACGAAATAAGCAGTATCCTCGGCTGCACGAATTTGGTACCTTGTGTCTAAAGGAAAATGTCGTAGCTGGAAATGACGTCAGAGTGCATGTCGGCCGATTTTGATGCAAAACTGAACTACTGCAATCGCTCGAAAGTCGAAAGGGCTTACATAGACCCGATTTATTTATATGAGACGACTCAGATACAAAGGGCTATCTAAGTGTTATCTCGGATTTTAGCCCGCGCCGTGCTGGGAGCGTAAAGCCCTGTTCATACATCAGTTCCGCACATGTAAAAATTTCAGACCCGGGTCGTTCAAGATCAGGTCACCAGGTCACGTCAAGTGACCTCAGGAAAAGTTCAAAGGCTCGCTATGGCTACACCGACTTAACAATCACTTTGACACTTTCAGCGATTGATATGAGTAACAGTATGTATAAATGTAAATCTCGGATTTTTTATATCTGTGAGCTAAGGTCAAGCCAATTTTGCGACATCTCCATTATAAGTCAATGGGAGAAAATTGAAACGCGCCTCTTTTGGACGAATGTCGCTCAAAACGCTCTCAGACACCGGTTCGTAGGTAAACATGTCACACTGAATCGGAAAAATGCACTTTAGACCCATATGTGTGCCCCTGAGGTCATCTCAGGTCATGAACGGTCACCAGCAGCTTTTTAGCTATATATTTAATATAGACACGAGCTGGAGCTGTGAAAACACGTCAAATGTGTTCAGCTCGGCGATACGGATCGACTGATATGCAACTTATGACCTTGACCTGAGATTAAATTTTCAAAACGACCTTTCAATTTCAAAAAAAAAAAGTTCATTCGACGCGTCTCGGCAAGAGGAACACGATGCTGCCAAAAGTAATGTCGTGTCCCTTTTAAATAAAAAGTTATTGCCGAAAAATATTTTTTCGTGAAAACGGCTATTTTTGCAGGTTTTGCCCTCTGGAGGCTAAACCGTTGACCTTAAGTCAAATGTGAGGGCAATATTAAAAAAGGCCTGTAAATGGGCTATCGAATGCGCTTTTCCGCGGCGCTGTAGCTCTATTGGCTCGCCGTTGGGAGTTTCCCAAATTATTAAAATGGACTTAATTTGACCTTTGGTGACCTCTGGTGACCTGACCTTTGACCTGACCTTAAAAATGACTGGGCTCTTCCAATCATCATTTTTGACGCTCTCTCGACTGCCGCTTACCGCGTTTCGCTATGTGGCCCAGGAGCCGAATTAGAGGGGGCATGGAAACGCCCTCCCTCCCCCCCCAGCACAGCACGACACGGAAAGCACAGGCCACTATCACGGCGTGGGTTAAAGAGTTTGCAAATTTTGAGAGTTAAACATACAACTTTTATAATCATTTTTCCTATTATTTCGTTTTTAAAATAAAAAAACGGAATATATGCGATCAAACACATACCGATGATCTACTCGAGGAAGTTTTAGCCCGATATATTCAATAATTGTTCAGTTATAGGTACGCTTTGAAGTTAATATTTCACCTTTTTTTTCAAATGATACTTTCAGTACGTTTTTGATAATTTACAGCAAAATAAATAGCACCATCGTGTGCCTGAGCTCAAACTGCCTTATCAATGTTGAAAAATTTCAATGTAGAAATTTGAATCTTTTTAATGAATTATGAAAGTGATCTGACCTTGCAGGCAATTTCAGCTGAAAATGACCTCCAATGATACCGACGACACCGTGTTAGAAATACTTCCCTGAAATGGACCGTGAACATGTGTCACGTGACCGATACATGTTTAAAAAACTCCATGACCTTTGATGACCTGGCCTTGACCTGAAAAGTTTTAACTACAAGTTTACTACTCTCAGGATACAAGGCGTATATCAAGGAGTGAGTAAACCAAAAATGAGCCTGATCAGAATTGTCAGCCGGCGGCCAGAGGCTAAATTGTGAACAAGCAAGAATGCTGATAATTTTTATTTTGACCTGACCTTTGACATCGTCAGGGACTTCGAGGTCAATGAAATTAGGTTCCGTTCGATAGTTTTTTTTTAAGGCTATTAGACGCCCTTTGAATTTTGACGATCGGCCAAGAAGTTTTGGAGATAGGAGCGGGGGTGGGCTCTGTAGAGTGTAGAGCTCAGTCAGCCGCGTTATGGAAAATACCCGAGTCATGCGTGGGTTAATATTAAACATATATACTTCAGCGGATATAGAAGGAGTTGGAAACCAGGACAGACGCAGAGGGAGAGGTGTAAGAGAGAGATAGTTTATAGGGAGATAAAGATAAAGGACAGCAAAGAAATAAAGGGCATAGAGTAGACAGAGAGAGAAAGAGAGAGAGAGAGAGAGAGAAAGAGAGAGAGAGAGAGAGAGAGGGGGGGCAGTGAAGCACAGCGCACACCGGGGGAATGCGACACCGATGCGTGAAGTCAGGAAGCGGTCGTTCAGTCCTTGGCCGCGTGGGGCGCTGGCGGAGGTTTCGGTATGCAAATTTCAACCGTCATCAGGGTCCTAGCTGATTGAACAATGTATTACTGAAATATTGATAAATAATATAATAGTTTTACTTTTTTTTCTTTTTAGTGATCATTTGCTGGACGTGCATTTATTTGCTTCGTTAGCTGTACTTTCTTTTTTTCTAGCTGTGAACTTCCCTACCGGTTTTGCGCGCTAGCGCTTGCCGCTCTTGTCTTTTGTTTTCCATTACGGGGGCTAAAAACGGCACGTGCATCACGTACAGAAACGTATATACATCTCCTGGGAGCAATTTGACCAAAACTGAGAGCTCAGATTCTGCTGACTGCGATAGTTAGTCACTTTTCACAAATCGAAACATCTTTGAGGCATCCTTTCTTTGAGATCAGTGTTAAACATTTTAGCATGAAGATAACAGCGCTTATACATTGTCCTTTTAGGGCGGCTAAAATATTTCAAGCCGATCTATTTCAACGACATACATATAGCATCACATCTCTCACATTGCTGTCATGCACATACTCGTGACTCGTGAGTCGTAGTGACGTCTGATCCCTCACAATAGTGACGCACCACACCTATGCTGACCTTATCGTTCTTATTGGCAATACATGTCTCACCGCTGCGGGCATTAGGTTCATGTGGTCTGTGGTGAGGGTGATTTGATGCTCCATGGCACTTTGAGCAGAATTTGAGGATTGCGGGCCTTGAGGAGGAATG